CACCTCCAATCACCGACAGGATGTGAGTGACAGACTCGGGGATAGGTTGGGAGTGTGTGCTGCTGATGGCTTTCTATTTATGATCACATTTATATTATCCTGCTACATTGCTTTAACACAACCAAAGTGAATGGACTGTATTTAGTGGACGGTATCAATATAGTACTTTTCCAGTCTTTACGACCCCTCAAAGCACTTTTACATAATACAAGTCAGCATTCACCCATTTACACACATTCATAGAGGCAGAGGCTGCCACCTCACACACATGGCCATCAGTAGCATCATGCCACATGCAAAAGGTGTTCAAGTTATTGTCATATGCACGATAATAACAGTGTAGCAGTGGCAGGATCAGTTATGCGTCTCCCTCCGACAAAGCTGTGTATACAAATAAGTCAAAAACCTAAACGCAAACAACAGGAGTATAGGCTAACGTCAGACTATAAACAAACTACAGCACAGACTTCACGTCACCAGCGCTACGCTAAAGGTGGCTAATGTTCGGCTTGATTAAATTTAGTCACTTTTTAGCAACCGCTGTTATTATGAAACGTAAACGCTTCAGACATTCACCAGTGAGGTGTTTACTGACATGTTTTATGTCAAAGAAGAAAACGTGAAACTCTTTTAAGCTTGTGTTAACCACAGACCTTATTCCAGACATTTAACCAACAACTCGTTTAAAATTCCGTTGAGTTTGAAACAAGGGAACCAGAAGTGATCAAAAGCTGACTCATCTCCAGGTTTTAGTAGTCAGTAGCCTACTCCCTAGTAAAATGAATAAACTGCAGGGTAAACAGGTGTGTAGACATTTATGTATATATAAACATGCTTTGATGGATACGTTTTGAACATGTGTGAGGTTGTTAACAGTTAGTGGGAGAACTCAGCAGGCCTCTGGGATTTATAAACCTGTTTGCAGAATAGATGACCAGCAGCCATCTGTAAAAGCAATCCATTCTTGCAAACCATGTATCATAAAATATGCTTTGGTGTTTCTGCTGCACTTTATCCTTGGCATGTGATATTACATGTTATACATTAAACTCATGTTGTATAGTTATAATGTTATTCCTTTGATCTGTCCAGCTTAATGAGCTCTCTGTATGTCACTGCAGTATGCTGATATGGAATCTTATATATTTGAAAGCATTTTCTAGACTCCCTGTGTGTGTATATTCAGTAAATGATCAAAGTGTGTATTTTCAGCAGCATTATTCAACTGGATGAGCATTCTCCTCCTGCTCCAGTGATCAGAGAGGATGCTGACAGTATATGACATGCCAATAAAACTAATCGGATCCCTCTGCATCCACTGATCAATTTCTCCGGCAGCCAGACCTCTGAGACCCCCCTGCACATGCTCAGTAAATATTCACTTCTCCAGGAGCAGTCAAGTGAGCAGTCCTGTTTACTGAGGCGTGTTCCCTGCCTGCTTCAAGAATATTTATGTGACTGTTTTATAGCCATAACATTACCATATTATAAACATGTAGATCTAAATAAACTATGAACATTTGTAATTAGCAATGTCAAAAGACAACGTTTTAGCGAAGTACTCTCAAAGATGGGACACCTTTTTTGGATGTATTGTTATAAAAAGAACAGGAGGTAGGCATTTTTGTATTATTGTTATAATTTTGTTATTTTTATAATTTGTATTATTTAACCAGGTTTCCAGGTTTATAGAGTGTTGCGTTAATGATTTTTAAACAGAACATTTAGTCAGCATTGTAGTACTTCCTGTTGGTTGTGAACTGAGTTTTTGTTTGGATGCCTAAAATAAGCTGAAGAGATTGTCACATATTTTTCTAAGACATCAAAATACATCAGAAAATTCTCCACAGGTGAACTTCTACATCTTTGACATGTCTTAAAAAACACTGGTTGCTAAAGAGCTTATAAATAATAAGACTACTAAACGTCAATACGCCGAACATTAGCAGCCTCGAGCTTAGCGGTGACATAAAGTCATGCGACCGTGAAGTAGTTTGTTTTTAGCCATTTATAGGTACATATTGATCCTAATATTAAGACCAGGACAGTCAACAGGCCTAACTCATTAAGATATTTCTCTTTGGCTCATTACTAAATATTAGACTTATTTATACAAAGCGGTCCCAGTGGACGAAAGGGTTTGACGTTATCACTTTGTTGTGTGTTAGCAAATTGTATTGGGTTTTCCAAATGAAAGTGTTCTAGCAAACCATTAATATGTTCATATTTAATATTCTGAGCTAATATTACCTTTGTGTTTTTCAACGATGAATTCACAATTAAAGATATTCAAAAGATTATTACTACAAGACTTATTGCCAAGAACTTGACTTATTACTGTAGTTATTATAACAAATGCAATGTCCTTTTTAGCTTATTCGCTTTTTATTATTAAGCTTTAATGTGTACTCAATAAAGTGCTTAAGTATTTCCATTTACAAGTGACAGCACAATTAATGCAATCTTTTTGCCAACCTGTGTTCCTTTTACTTCTAATCTGCAAAACATTTTCTTCCAACAAGGCAGTATGTAATAAAGGTCCTCTGATAGGGGATTAAATACAGCTCCGAGCCCTGGGTATGATCTGGATTATGTGCTGCCGCTTCCTGTGTGTCAGTCACACCTCAGACCTGCTTCCTGCTACATCGCACAGCCTGTAAATAGAACATGTTCCCGTGTGATGTGTGTGGAGCGGCCTCAGTGGAGCTGCAGGTGAGCCGCCTCATGCTGAGCAGGACATTACATTATCAGTGAGTGTGACCGCTGATGGGGAACAAATGTGCTGCTGGAGGTAAATTACCTGTGGCAAGCATAATAACCTCAATGCTGAGGAGCCAGAAATGTAAAGATGTTTAGTTGAGTGATTTGTATCTGGTAAACTGGCTAGTCATGCCCAACCCTAGCTCTATGTGGTTACCCGTGGCACCTCCACTAGAAAGAAGAAAGCTAGAACTGAGTGAGGTGTTAAGGGTGGCCATGTCATTGGTTTAGGGTTAGGGTTGTGGTTAACTGTGGATGCTACAGTCATGACATTTGGCATCTGTGATGGTTTCCTCCTTCCTCTCAAGTGTACCATGTTTGGCACCTCTAGCCTCTTCCTTTGCTATAGCTGTCATTGACAGCCATTATAGCGAAAAAGGGATGATCATCATATAACTCCAGAAGAGTATGTGGTACAGTCACCATATTTGGTGTGCATGATTGTCTTATCACACTGCTTAAGTGCACCTAGTTGGGCGTTTCTAGCTGCGTTCTTTCATATAACTGCCATTGACCCTCCATTGTAAAGTGTCACGATTTTTTAAAACGGAAGGCCATAGCAACTCTCTGTGGACCATGGTTGATAGATTATTGGACCCTCCATTCCAAAGTTATGAACACACACACACACGTCCACTAACCCCACTTATGTGCAATATATCTCTTTTAACATTTAATATTATTACTATTATTATCACTTCTGCTAACTCACTACCTAAGACTGTCAAAATAAAACTGCAATATATATATATATTTTTTTTTACATTTAACAATATATTAAAGGTGGGGTAGGTAATTTTGGAGTAACCAGCTCGAGTGCGCTAGAATTTGAAAATACACAACCGGAAAAAAATCTGCAACTTCCTCACAGAGCCCCTCCTCCAACACACACGAACGCGCACATGACCAATGAGGGCACGAGATAAGTTTGTGCACAGATGGAAGGCTGACAGGCAGGTAGGCCATCCAGTTATTTTAGCCGGCCGGCTAAAATGATTGGTCGTGCTTTTTACAGCGCTACAGCTTCCACAGCAGAGATATTCATTGCTATCGGGATGTTAAGAGCATTCCATGGAATATAACAAAAAGTGTATCTCGAGCCGGTTTCTCAAACTTACCTACCCCACCTTTAATGTTATTACTGGCTGTAACTACAGGACTGTTATATGTTTACTTTCTTTGATATTGCTGCTACTTGGATGTGTACTATTTGATTTTCAATTATTATTTTTTATTGACGGTTGCCCCTTTATTTAAATTTGACCTTTTATGTGCACTGTCCACTTTGCTGTAACAATATATATGTCCTTGCTTGTGGAGCAATAAAGGTTTTCAAACAGGTTTACCCCATTAATACCTATAAATGATGATGATATGAGAGTGTTTGACGAACAAGAAGAACATCAGTTTTCCTCCTGGTCCACTGTCTGTATGTGCATGCTGAACATTCATGTGGTGTTCATACCTATCCCTGGCTCTACAAATAAAGATCGAGTTTTGGTTCTGTGTATTTTCCTTCAGATTAACACCATTATGTTTGCTTTACCATACATGAAAGAAGCAAAAAGCAAGCGTGAGAAGAAAATGAAACTCGGAGCTGCTGTCTCCCTGCTGCCAAGCCTCACTGCATCATAATACAGTAATTACTCAGTATTTATACATGTCATATTTAATCAGCAGCAGGCATTTTAGAAGGGCAGAAATGCTAACGCAGCACGGTTTCCTGTGTCAGACTGAACCTGATTCAGGCAGGCAGCTCAGTGTGACGTGTTTCAAACTGCTGCACTCAGAATACTCAGGACACTGTCCATGTAACACTTTTGGATTTATTGTTTTGTAACTAGTGACTACCAATTTCCTTTACATGCATAACTTCATTGGTGGTGTTTTATACTACGGCACCATCTGGTGGCTGTAACTGCACGGCAAGTGAAAACCTCAGGGGTGAAACGGGTGTATACCAAACAGAGGGTCAGCGGTTCAATTCCCAGCCCCTGCAGTCGTTATAGGGAAGTGTCATTGGGCAAGAAACGTAACCCTAAATTATTGTATCAATAATTATTTATTTATTTTTCTGGTAGAATTCAAGTCATGCAACATGCTGAAAGGTTGAACGCTGGGGAATCAAACCATCACACTGCATCTCATCAGTACAGCTTCCATTGGTTTGGACTCTTAGGAGTGACTGCCCCACTGTGGAGAGAATGCTTCACTACATGTTAGAATTAAAGTGGACATCATTTTCCACTTAAACTTTATTTCAACTCAAAGTACAAAGCAAGACACTCAATGTTTTGTCTTTACAAAATAAAGTGTTAAAAACTATAGAGATTGTGCACAAACACAAAGAAGAAGCCTGATGAACAGACAGAGTGACACCAAGAACAGAAAGTAAACACTAAAGATAGAAACTTATCTCCCCTTCACACTTAAAGTAAAGTCTGCAGGATACTGACTGCACGAGCATAGTGTTAAAAAAATGCAATCCAGACACCGTTGAAGGAGCTGTAACAGTGATTTGAAAGTCAGCTGGGGGAAGAAAAGCACTGTAAAACGATATATTGTACTTCTCCAAAACGACAGTACACTGCTTCAGTGGAGCTGCTCAGCCTACGTGCAAAAAGAAAAAATAATCCTCATGTTTGTGTTCTTCTGTAACACTCAACCGTGGTGGGCTCTAGAGAAAGGAGAGCACACTTCACATCCCTTGGATCCAGACATTCAAAATCTCTGTTTGACCAGAGACTAAGGTCACTTTGTAAGTGCTATAATTTCTGATTAGATATTACCGATATTCACAGAGTATTTGTTTCCTCTGTCCAATCATGGATTGGGTGTGTAACGAATTAAGTAAACAAAAGTCTATATTTAATAATAATACAAAATAACCCTTTTCCTGGAGAACAGAGATAGTGTGGGTTCATTTCAAACATTTAACAAAATGAAGGTTATCTGTCATTATTTTAAAGTTCTCACACTTGAGCGAAGTTGAAGACCACCAGCAGGGTGCTATCCCTTTAAATGGAACGTTCTGAACTAAGAATGTCTCCTTACATCATGTAGCTGTCATTAACTCTGAGACATCTTCCAGGAGCAGTTCAGGTGTGAGCGTGTGCAAACAGGAGGACACTGAGACACTGCTTAACACCTCCTCAGGAACTGAACAGCAGCAGAGGAACAAGCTGATTCCAGCGTCTGTCCTTCACTGGTCCTTTATGCTGAGCACTGGGTCCACCAGCTTATTATGGACATGCATCAAACCTCAAATAAAAAGAAAGGGGGAATAAAATCATATTACAAACACACAAATACACAAATACCTGCAGACAATGACTGAAATCTCTAATATTGAGCAACAACAAATCTTCCTATAGACAGGACCACAGCGTGAAGTGACACTATTAGTCAAATATTGCCTCTATAGATCTGCACATATCAGTTATAATGAACTGCTGTCCATTTCTAACTTGAGAACCGCACATCCTGCTGCTCTTAAATGTTAAAATAGATGAAATAAATTGCATCTAGGTCTGACACTGTCTCATAATAAAAGGATAGGTAACATATCACTTTCATTTTTGGTCAAATCAAAGTGAAATGGAATGTATTGATTGTATTATTTCTGTGAATATAGGTGTGTAAATACCCATAGACTAATCACTTTGTTGTGACCTAAAAGTTTGCACGTATGCCATGTGCAAACTTTTAGTCTGATTTTAGAGTGAGTTAGGGCAAATAGCTGTACAATGTGTTGGAGCGCTAACCAATAGGCAGTCTGACTGAAGTAAGACAGTCGAATCAAATAGTGCTGAAGTAAATCCTCCCTCCATAGATGTTGCTCTATGTGATACACCCTTAGTTTTACAATACACTGGTGTCTCTAACCCTTGGCATAGCAAGCTTTTATGAACGACCTCTTGTCTTCACAGAGCAGAGTAGGGTTAGTGAGATGAGTTGTTGGTACCTTTGAAGTACTTCACGGTTTTCACTCGCAGCTCCAGGGTGGCGTCCTCGTCACAGACGAAGTTGGTGCGGGGGTGCTGCTGGAACGCTGACACGGTCCACATGTGGTTCACCCCCTCCTCTATGGCTTTGTACAGAGCGAAGGCTTTGTGTGCTCCTGTGATCAGAATCATCACCTGAGCAGAGCGGGGGGGGGGCAACTACATCACTACATTTATCTGACAGCTTTAGTTACTTTACAGATTCAGATTATTGGCTAATAAATCAACCAATTAAAAAAGAGTGACATAATTGTAGGTCAAAATATCTAGCAGTACATAAAGTAATACAAATCAGCTTCACCTTGTGATGCATTAAAGGTCACCTAATATGCAAAATCCACTTTTGCATTAAAGATCCCCTCTCTTTTTGTCCTGATCCATTTATATAAAAAACCTGTCTGAAAATGAGCTGATCAGATGTTGGTCACTTTGTGATGTCACAATGTTTTTTTGGCTTGTGTAACCATTAGCCAATCAGCAACCAAGGTAACCCCCCCCCACCGTATCACCTGAATCTCCTCCTCGAGCCCCATTAGGCGCTTTCACACCGGGGTACTTTTCCCTTTTAGTTCCGATAGTTCCTGGGATTTTGCGTTCACACCAAAAAGAGAACTTAGTTCATGAGAACTTTTTTACCCCCTTTTCCGTCCCTGCTAGAGAGCAGGTACTTTCCTGGGGAGAAAAAAGTTCCAATTTCTGATTGGCTGGGCGAATTGCAAACCACACCCCGTAAAACTCTGAAAAGCTATGTGAAGCCGCCATTGTATTTGCTGGCATTAGCATTATTAGCATTAGCCCCGCGCACCAACGCAGAGAGACTAACTTATGGCAACACAAAAGAAAACATGGGAGCGGTGGAGATGAGGAGGTGTCGGCGTTCTGGCGATTTACTCGGAAGGCTTCAGTAGAAGCTGCTGGGAGTCCCAGCAGCTTCTACTGGAGCCAGTCCCTAACTCCGGGGACTTCTGTCTTCGGGTGGCAGTATACGCCGTGAAGTGGTTTGCGGCCTGCCAGTAAACCCAAAGCAGAAGAAGAAGAAGTGACGTCAGCGGCTTCATTTGCCTAATCCACCCTCAGGGACTTATTCCGGTGTGAACGCGATTCTGCTCTTTAGTTCCATGGGGGAACTAAGTGCTGGCACTAAGTGCTGGGATCTAAGCACGGCAAAGTACTTGGTGTGAAAGCGGCTATTGTGTTCTTTTCAACCAAATATCTCTCAGAGGGGTGAGGGGAGTGGCTCCTTCATTTCATCTAAAGTAACAGACAGAGGGGTGTTTCTCAATCACGAGTAAAGCTGCTCCAGAGCCACTATTTCAAGCATACTACGTCATCGAGTGCCGCCGAAGTACTGTTCCAATGTCCAGCATACTTGGAAATCTACCGAGCCCGGCGTACTTCGTTTGGAGAAATGTCGAGGCTGCACATGTGTAGACTCCGCGGTCTTAAAATCCCCACAATGCTTTGCGCACGGACCAATTTCCCCAAATCTGTGGCGGAAAATGTAAGGCGGGGCCTCTCATATGAAGCACACCTGCACACTTGCTCACCTGTTCTACTCTTTGTTTTTCGAAAGCCAGGAAGTATTCTTGCCTCGCTTCTGAAGCAAGACGCTCGGAAGACATGTGCTACCAAGCAAGCGTACTCGCGATTGAGAAACACCCAGAGAATCAGCACTTTTGAAACAGAGGGGATTATGGGATGCTGCAATGATCTGTTTGGTGTTTGGAGCCAAACACTTCAAAGACATGTTTTGTGTGTATATATATATATATATTAGGGCTGTCAAGTTAACGCGTTAATAACGCAAACAAAAATTAGCGCCACTAATTATTTTAACGCGATTAACGCATGTGTATTTTTTTCCTCTGCCGCCCCGTAGTTTCAGAGCGCATCGAGTTTAAAATACCATCTACAAGCTGATGCTGACAGCCCCGCTCCTGCCGCCTGCTTGCGGCAGACCACACTTCCACGCTCACCGGCAGGCACCGACTGGCTGTTGGGAGGACCGGGAGGGTGTGTGTATGTGTGGCCCGAGGGAGCGAAAGAGAGACCTTACGTGTATTGTTGTTGTTAGCATCTGGTGCTAGCTAGCTGCGCTACCGGATATAAGGAGCTGTTTAAATGAAAACAGAGGAGCGACATTTCGCCGAGCCCTTGACTTTATGCAGGAAGCCAGACATTGGGACATTGTACGAAAAGTCAGCACACTCAGCACGGATGGTGCTTGCAACATGATTGCAGCGTCCAGGCAGCTCCCGTTCGAGCATATGCCTTGAGTTGCACGCACGCACGCACGCAAATGTGCGATTAATTTGCGATTAACTATGGACAATCATGCGATTAATCGCGATTAAATATTTTAATCGACTGACAGCCCTAATATATATATATATATATATATAGATGAAAAAATAATAGGGGACCTTTAAAACAACAATTATGATCATAATGAACATTTGAAATATTGTACTCTTTACTCTACTGAATTTACATTAGGAGTTACTTTGCATATTCATATTATTAATACAAATGATTAAACCCACTAATGAATGAACACATTTATGATTGAATAGAAAGATAATTGCAATATGATAATTATAACAACATTTAATTAATCTACACAATAATGTATCACTAATTATATTCGAGTGATAAAATGGGCCACTATCTCAATGAGTTATTTTACTTTTGGTACGTTAGAGTTGTGTATTTTACTTTTGGTACTCTAACTATATATACACACCTCTAACGTACGAAAAGTCAAATAACTCGTTGATAGTTGGCATCAAAAAAGTTTATTTTAATGCTAATAATTTTTAAGTAAGATTTCAAAGGAATTCTACTTGTAGCAATATCACTTAATATAAAAATGGAGTACTTCTTCCGTACGTACAGAGTAATATCATAACCTGGTTACATGGGGTTAATTATTGCAGGACATTGTGGTACCAGATGAAGTGTGTGACTGACCTCTTTGGCGCCCATGACAGTTCCAACGCCGACCGTCAGAGCCATGGTGGGGACCTTGGAGAGGTCGTTGCCAAAGAAACGGGCGTTGGCTACAATGGTGTCCTTGGCCAGCGTTTTCACTCTGGTCCTGGAAACCAGGCTGGAGCCCGGCTCGTTGAACGCTATGTGGCCGTCAGGGCCGATACCTGCAGGGAGATAACATCTGGAGATTCAGCTGAGAGACCACTCATAAAGTGACACAATTGTATATACGTTCATATTTTCTTTTAATTTAACATATGTAAGTGCAGGATAGATAAATATACAATTTAAGGTATTTGTTGACGAGTACTTATCTACAAAAACAAATTAGGGTCACATGTGAATTTATTTTTAGATCTGACCAAAAGGTAGTTTTTTCTTAGTTCTGAGATTAAAGTCAAGAGTTTTGCGAAAAAGAAAATCTTAATTAAATCATAATTCTGACTTTTTTCTGAAAATAAAGCTATAATTCCGAGGTTAAAATCTGACTTTCTTTCCCCAAAAAATAGTAATACTTTGGTCTCTGTCAAAAAAAAGTTCACGTGACCCTAATTCTTTTAAATCGGCCATCGATTATTTATTTTTGTATTAGTAGTAGTAGTAGTACTAGTAGTAGTAGTACTAGTAGTAGTAGTGTGTTATTAATTCTCATGGAATTGTTTTTAATTGTTGATTTCCTGTTTGGCTTAATGATGGTTAAACAGAAGATCATTTTAGTTTCACTTCCATACTTGATTGTTTTTTATATGAGATATTTAGTTTGGATTGTTTTAGGTTGTTGTGTTTATATTGCTATTGTGTGGACCCCAGGAATAATAGCTAATGCCCATGCTAATGGGGACCCTAATCAAGGCGTAGAAACGAGTCTGACCTCCTACGAACAGCTCGATGCCCCCCGCCTCGCTGATCTTCTGCTCGTACGCCTGGCACTCAGCCTCCAGGTCCTCCACGTTCCCGTCCAGGACGTGAGCGTGGGCGGGATCGATGTCGATGTGCTTGAAGAAGTTGTTCCACATATAAGAGTGATAGCTCTCTGGATGAGCCCGAGGCAGGCCTGGAGAACAAGATGGACGCCCATTTTAACCAAAGAGCAATTTGGTGCAACATGTGCAATGATTCCTGCAGATCTTCTGTTCCAACTAAAGAACAAAAGTAACTGATGTAGATGTGAGGGGCTGTCCGGCTGTGGAAGCTATCACATCCGGGGTAAGGCTGAAATAAATATAGTGCTTAGCTAACTAATGAAAACTGGTCGTCTCGAGGCAACTTGAGACAAATCTGCCTACATAACATTAGCATTAGTGGAATGTACAGCAAAAAACAAGACTGAAAAGACGATATAATACAGTTGAAATCCAATTTAAAGCGTTAAAACACTTCAAAACCAAAACACATTACACGTTGTCAAATAAACCAAGTCTAAAATTGAAAGAAATGTGTATAATCAGCCTTTAACTCACCTACATATTCATCCATGTTGAAGGTCTTCACATATTTGAATGAAATATCTCCACTTCTGTAGTATTCTATCAACTTCTGGTAACAGCCATAGGGAGTGCTCCCTGGAAGAAATGAGAAGATCAGTACAGGCTCCGCTTAACGCTGATATAAACACAGAAACCGTTTACCAGCTCTCACCTGTAGGTAGGCCCAGGGTGAAGTACCTCTCTGCCGAGGGTTTGAACTGGATGATTCTGTTGCGGATGTATTTGGCCGCCCACTCACTGGCCAGGTCATAGTCCTCCAGAATCACCAGCCTCATGATCGTGGCTTACTTAATGAAGCAAGTTAAGACAAAGCTTACAAAACAGTTACAGAGGCCCTGTCATGCTTTTTGGGGTTTTCCCTTTCCTGTACTGTAATCTCCTGTAAATGTTCTGCAAAGGATAAACCCCAAAGTAACCTCCAGACCTTTGCCAGCTTTGCAACACTTTAATGCATAAATAATTATAAAACATAACATATATATTATTAGTATATGTTGATGCCAATACTTTTGTACTTTTACTTTAGTAACATGTTGATTGCAGTACACTCTGGTACTTCTAGTTTTACTCAAGTAGACTATCTGAGTACTTCTTCCACCTTTGGTACCCCCTCACAGAATCCACATGACATTAAGGAATATTTTAGGGAGCAGATATTAGAAAAAAACTCCTCCCCTCTCCAAATAGGCCTGCCTTTATAAGAGTTTGCCGTTATCTCTTGGTGAGAGACTGTGAGTAACTCTGCTGAAATGTTTTCTACTTGAGGCTAAGAGCTAATGCTAGCAAGGGAGGAAACAACAGGAGCGATTTTTAAGAGTTTAATGCACAGCAATGTCACTCAGCTCATTTAAAAAATGCTCGTTAAAAGGTTATTAGCACAAACTACAGAATTCGACATTAACCCGGTTTTACCTGCTAAATCCGCTGTTTGTCAGGAGAGAATTCAGCTGTTGGAAGCAAGCACCAAGGAAGTGCGCCGGACTCTGAGGAAAATATTCGTTGTGGCCAAATGGCGGTACTACACTTCTGTATCAGTCGCTGGGCCCGGAAATACTTTTTCCCATTGACTTACATTGGGAAAGAGACGTCTGTAAATCGTTGGATCATTTAAAAAAAAAAAACTAAATAAACTACCCAGTATGAACATTTGTATAGCCCTTATTAAAAACATTCGGTCCTCAATTTGTAAAATGTGCTAATAACGTTATTCTGAGTTATTTTCCTCGGCATTATGAACGCGGATCTAACCCACGGGACCGCGCCGCCCGGCACGTTCATGTGACGTGTTCAGTACTACATGAGTTTTACCTTTGCATATGGCTGTCTAACAGAAGTTAAATCCATTTCTCACTTATTCTGACAATGTACTTAACCCCAAATAAAAGAACCCAATAAAAAGAGTTGTCAAATAATAGTGAAGTCACGTTATAATAACAATAACTCATCTCTCTCTCGTTTTATTTTTGAGCTTTGCCAAAAGTCACTGTGTCAATATTGTCCTACTTGGGTTGCCGTCCGGACTTGTCCAATATGGTGGACCATCTCGCACATGCGCAGTACCGATCGGGCAGGGGGACGGATCGGGTAGTGACAGTGACAACCTTTACCCATGGATGCACAATAAGAACGGATTATATGATTATATGAATACTTTCGTGACGTTTCGCTCTCTCAAAAGTTGGGCAATTTTGTCTTCATGCACCAATGAGCAACTCTCATAGGAATGAACGAGGCCCCGCCTAGACGCTTGTTTTGTTACGTTAAAAACTCCCGGTCAGGTGACTTCACTGTAGAATGTATGGAAGTCCAGGAGGGACAATATAATCTAAAACGCATATTTGTAACGACGACATTTAAAATATAGACTATATATCTATTACAAAGAAGAAGGCAATCAAAACCAAATGTGTATTTGATAAATATTTCACTTTGAATGTTACGTTTTATTTGTATCACTGTATCTATCTTGAATATTGTATTTGTATTATGTACAAACAATAAAATGTGAGCTTCATAAAGCTGTTGTTCTTTTTCAAATACACTCAGTTGAACAAAGTCCAAGCAAGTTTTGTATTACTTAAATGTCTATTCTTTATTTAAAATCGATGGTTGTATACAAACATTTTACTGCAAAACTATTTTTTTTTGGGGGGGGGGATTATGTTTCCTCAGTGTTCTCCGAAGGGACTGCATTTGCCTTATGACATGTATATCTGGAAATATTGTATTTTGGATTGCGATGACCTTTTTTGGTTGCTTACAATAAATAAGTAGACAATGTTCAGACATTTGAACTCTCATTGGTTGCTTCCCTGGGATAAATCATTAGTCGTTTTATTTTTAAGTTCGATTTTAATTGAGTACAATTAGCCACTGCAACTCAGTTTTTTTTTCATTGTAATAAAATATATAACTTCCAAGTCAAATTCAAGATAATGATTTGGCACAAACATGAAAAATTACGGTTTGTCCATGGTTTAAACCATACATTAATGTATTATACTGTTAAAGAGTATATTCTTCATGAATATTACTTCAAGCCTTATCCAAAATTAGTACACAAATGCAATATAAACAATAAGCGCTATTGTTTTGTAAAACATTTATTGTTGTAACATTACTGTTTAAGAGGAAATAACTACAATACATGTGTTCATGTATCAGTCAATGTTGTAAAACAGTTGCCTTCTGTATGGGATGTGGAGTGGAATTGTGAGAGGTAGAGGCTGAATGTAAAACGTGTTCCATGTTCTGGTGATGGTCCCAGGTTGACACGAGGTATGATACTGTTAAAATGAACATTCTACGCTTTCTTCTTGTAGTCCTCCAGGTGGCACAGGATCCAGCCAGATGGTCCCAGGATGGCCACGGACAACATGGTGAGTGCAATAACAGTTTCCTGGAACACAGACGACCAATCAGCATCATTACAGCTACATTAAACAGAATCCAATGTTCACTCCTTGTAAAGTGCAAAGTCTGAGTTAGACATGGGTCCCATAAATATGTCCTTTCATAGCAGAGGAGCAAAATGTGTGCATTATTACATGTACTTAAATAATCGAAAGACTGGAAACCATGCAATGTAACTAATATTGAGCATTTCTGGGGGGAGTGTCTCAGGGACACAACGACATGCTGACTGCAGTGGGACTCGAACTTGCTATCCTCTGATTTGAAGATCAACGCACTAATCCACTGCGCCACACGCCTCCCTATAGTGTTGGTAAAATGTAAATCGCCAAGCTTACGTCTTGTGTAATGCATTGTGCGGTGGCCGACAGGTGCAAATACACTAAATTGAAAAATAAATTAAAGCAGGAGACACTAAAAAGTAACACAGCTGGGACCGGAGCACTTGTTGACATTCAGGGATTATAAAGTTGGCAAACTGACACTTAGAATTGATGTAAAATGTTTTATCCGCTTATTTGAACAATAGGATCACATGATTCCTTCCAATATTATTGCAGATCTGCTGTAAGCTACCTAGCTAACGTAGTCATTTCCAATATACTGACCAAATACAATTACGAAAACAGGCTAATCTGCCAACAGTGAAAGTTCAGCAACTTTATAATCCATGAACGCCACCAAGCGCTCCGGTACCAGCTTTGTGCGCCATTTCCTTTGTGTTTTGAGCTTCTTACAGTGTTTTTGTAATTTTCAGAATTTTGTTCTTTCGTAAATGCTGCGCATATTTCGTCAAGTTGGTGAAGATGTTCCTTCATTTGCATTTTTGCTACATTGGTGTTTTTGTATATTAGCATTGTTTTTGAAACGGCAGCACGTTTCTCCTAATAGAAGTGTTTTTGGACTGTTGCATCTCGGTTGCAACCGTCGGCCGCTGTACATCTCTATATTAAAAACCAAAATAAATGTGAAATATACTTTCAGGAGCCGTATTCACAGACATTCTGAGAATACTCTGAAGTTTTAACTTTGGCTAAAAAGTGTTTAGCAAGGAAACCTTGCTAAGGAGTGATTTATGAAATGCTATGAAGCAACTCAGAGAAAGGACGACATAAACATGAATGGTTTGAAGCTGCAAAAAAACAAAAAAACAATCTAAACTTTTGGTATGAATCTGTGCGAAGGACAGAGCCGACACTAGCAGACAGATTTTGTTTTTATAGTTTTGGATTTCATGTGAATTGATTGGTACAGTAATGATACCTTAAACTCCAGAAATACATTAGCATTGTAACACTTCCAGTATGCTAATCTCAAAGTAACTTTATGGAGTTTCTGATTAGATGCCTGAATAAGGTATATTTCTCAAAAGTTTTGAATCCTCCATCATTACGTTGACTAGTATCTCATTATGTTTTACTTCACAGTTAGTTATTTTGACTTAGAATCTCAGTAAATGACTTTGGATCTAATAGTTATGAGCTAAGAATGTCATTAGTTTGACTTGGTGTTCATTTTTACTTGAGTCTCATTATTATTATGATTCAATAGCTTATTGTTGACTGACTTAGTATCTAATTATTATCACTTAGTTTCTCACAAAAACGACCAAGGATCTCATCATTATGACTTAGTACTTAATTATTATGATTTATAATCTCATTATTATGACAAAGTAGCTCATTATGACTAATTGACTTTATATCGTATTATTATTATTATTATTATTATTATTATTATGACTTAGTGTCTCATTATTAGGCCTATGACTTAGTATCTCAATATTTCGCCTTAGTAATTCAAAATAACGACTAAGCTAATTAAATAGACTAAGTATCAAAAATGTTGGCGAAAATTGGCTTCCATAAGTACAGGACACAGTAACCTAACTGTTAGCCTGGGCCTGACATTAACTGGGTGGATGAATTATCTAAATATAAGTAGCATTTGATTTACAATTGTCACAGAAATGTAGCAATTGTATTCCACTTACTTATGTTAATAATAAACGATGTATTTCATAAAGAAATACCCACGTTAAATACTGTCCGCTGACATAACACACATTATTTTGACCTCGGCAGCCAAGGACGGCTAACAGCCAAGATAATGAATGCTAGCTACTAGCCATGTAGCTAACACAATACTTACTAGAGGGCCGATCTTCTCCTTGGCCGGGGCGCCGTAGACATTAGCCTTCTGGGTGATGGTGTGTCCCCGCAGGACGGGAGCTGCGCGCCTGGCGACGGTCCTCAGGAGCCCTGACATGTTTGTTTGCTGCGGTAAAGTGTTGCTGCGTTCTCGGCTGAAGAGGCAGATGAAGTGAAGAAGAAGTGGATCAATGCAGAGGTCGTTTCGTCTTCTTGTCCCTAGCACGTTACCGTGAGCCACATAGCGCCCCCTACTGACCCGGATGTTAGTGTACTGTACATGATGGATGTATGATGACGGTTTACTCTGCAGTGGTGTACACTTTACAGGGTGGGGGAACTACTCAGATCTTTACTTCAGTAATAACAAAGTGTAGGAATACTCTGTTTCAACTGAGTAGAAGTCCTGTATTTAGAATGTAAGTCAAGTAAAAGTACAAAAGTATTAGCATCTAAATATACTTAAAGTAAAAGTAGTCATTGTGCAGATTGGTCCTTTTCAGAATAATATATATGATATGTTTTATAATTATTGATCATTAAAGTGTTCTCAAAGCTGGTAAAGGTGGAACACATTTGAATGACTTTTTATACTCCAGGTCTAACTAAAGTCTGGTTAAGTGTTAACCTCCTGTAACAGTGTGTTATATTAAAAAATAGAACGATCCTCTCTCTTGCTCATATTCTGCTCAGTGTAAGATTTGAAAACAAGAGCAGATCACCAATGCTAATTGATGACCAGATCTTTATGAAATATATACTTAATACTGAATATATCACTTTTCTAAATAATGTTTTATATGGATCTTGACTTGGTATCGCTCACTATTTATCCATTTAGAATTTAGAAGTTTTAGGCATTAGATAAAGAGTTTCGATCTAATCAATTATTCCAATGCACTGCTTAAATTCTGTTGAACAATCAAAGGCTTTTACCCGTTGGAAAGATTGCCGTTTGCACCGAAATTACACTGTTGTTGTGATGGATATTCAGCCTTGCTTTGCAGCGACACAAACGGTGACGTCATGACTCAGCTCCAACAGGGCTCTGGTTGGTGGAAAAGCAAACTGTTACCAACCAAAGTAGCACCAGCACGGAACTACAACAGAACTGATTTCAGTGGAGAAGGGGTATCAGGGCCTCAAAGTGAACGTGGGGCCTTGGGGGACCCTGAGGAGTAAGGCTCAGAGCAGGTTCCCCCTTTACCGTTTGCTAACCCTTGGTTGTCCCTTCAGTATGTAACCTCTGAAGTAGAAGTCTCAGTGTGAGGCTCTGGCATTCAGTTTTCTAATAACAAAGCTTACTGAACTCCACGTGAGAGCTAATCCTCTGCAGCTCACGCTCAGACTGCCTCCTGATAACTGGGGACAAGGGGGCCATGGTATGTAATAATCCCCCCCCCCCCACCAACATTCACCCCACCTCTCCACAACAATACCCCACAGACTTTAGTTGGAAGAAGCATTTTGCAATCCTGACTCTCTACATCTCTTTGGCTCGGATTGTGGATTTTTTTCCCGCCCCTCTGTGTTATTTTCAATCCACTACTGTTGTGTACTTCAATTCATTTAAATTTAGGATCATTTTTCTTTTGCAAACCGCTAAAAAAAATGGGAATAGAACTCGCTGTCAATATGTCCGATGAAGTTTCACTTTACGGAGGAAAAAGTGCCTTTACTCAAATGGAGCACAACATGGTGGCTGGATATCTGATAACGGCAGGTAACAAAGAGAATGGCTTTATGAATAGATGAATTGATAGAGTAATCTGAAAATGGTGTTGTATGCAATGTGATTTATCTGCTTGGTGTTCTTCTCTAGAACCTTGTAATCCTTTTATGTAACTCTGCATTCAGACCTTGTTTGAACTACTCTCAAAACATCTAACAGTTAAGTTTCCAACCATTCGCAGGAAGCTGGAAGGAGATATGGGAATTTGGCTTACTATTGGCAGTGTTATGTAATTCCTCATAAAGAATAATGAAATAACACATTCAAAAGTGTATATTATGCTGCAAGCTTTCCTGAATACCATATTCCTGTCGAGCCAACTCCTATTACTATATTTGCTAAAGATTCCAAACACACAAAAACACACACAGCAAAGTTTAGGCACTGTATAGAGTCTTGCAGTGATGATATATTTGCAGGCCAACCCTAAAGTTAGCATCGCTAGGGCTCCTTTGACAAAAGGTCAATTGGAATCTTTCTATTGGATTTTGGAATATTGCAGGAAAACAGGATAATCTCTAGATGAACAGTATTTTGTGATGTTCGAGGCGTTAATGCAATTGCCATAAGTGAAACTAACGTTAGCCTATAAACTGACTATATCACTTGACTGCGCATCAACACCGCTAAGCTAAAGGCGGCTAATGTGTCTTAAACCTTTACTTAGAATATTTTTTTAATTGTAAGGTGTCCTTGGGTGCTTTTAAAAGGCGCCTCTAAATAGAATGAATTATTATTATTAATTATTATTAATGTTATAAAATATATAAGCTTCAGACTTTCACCAGTGGGGTATTTACTGACGTATTTTATGTTGTAAAACAAAATGTTCAAAGCTCTTCAGCTTCAGTTAAGATCTTATTTAAGGCATCTAACCAAAAACATGTTCAAAAAATTGTTGACTTCAAGAAGAGAGAATCGGAAGTGAAATGGATGGAAACTAATTTCACGGTTTGAGGACTCATTTCTGCACTATTCTATTCCAAATCAGCTTTTTTTATTGCTAAATTACTATAAATCAACTAGAAATAAAGTTAAACTGTTTCCTCCTGTGTGTCTGTCAGAAAACTCTTCTTCTTCTTTAATCTTTAAACTTGAAAAGTGTATTCTCTTTTTGAAACTTATTGTGGATGACTTTGAGGAAATGCTTATGTGTTATATTTTCTTCTCAGTCACTTTGATTGAATGGATTAAAGGTTTGACTTTTGCCTCCCACGATGTGACACTTTACTTCAAGTCTTCTTTCCTCCTCTTAGGTATCGTGAGTTTAGCCAGCAACATTGTGGTTCTGTTGATGTTTGTGAAGTTTAAGGAGCTGCGCACTGCCACCAACATCATCATCATCAACCTGGCTCTTACTGACATCGGAGTGGCTGGTATCGGATATCCCATGTCAGCAGCCTCTGATATCCACGGCAGCTGGAAGTTTGGATACACTGGTTGTCAGGTGAGTGCCCTCTTCTGAACATCATTTAACTGAGGGGGACAACCCAAAACGACATGGAATGCAAGTTAAAAGCTTGATTCAAGATCCCTCCACTTCGGGTCGGTGTTCTTTTCTCATTAATGACCGGTTTTGCTGCACATTATCCCATTATAACATTACATGTAATTTGTTAGACACTTTTATCCAAAGCGACTTACATACTCAGTACTGTGGACAATCCCCATAGGAACAATTTGGGGTGAAGTGTCTCAGGGACACAACGACATGCTGACTGCAGTGGGACTGCAGTGGGACTCAAACTTGATTTGAAGTCCAGCACACTACCCACTGAGCCACAGCCTCCCTCCCATTATAACATGGCTATGTACTGTATAAACCAACAACTTGACTCAAAAAATGTTATTAAAATAATTGTTTTGATGAAAACAAGAACAAAATCATAATCTGTTCCATTGTGTACCAACGGCTTATCTGCGGTGACAGGAACATCTCTCAATATGACGGCAGCACTGATGGAGGTTTACTTCCTGTCTGTCTTCTTCTGATGTTCCCTTTAGTGTTTACTTCCTGTCTGTCTTCTAATGCCGTTTTCTTTTGTGTTTTTTGCCTGCTTGTCTTCTTCTCTTGTTCCCTAAAATGTTTACTTCCTGTCTGTTTTCTTCTGCTGTTCACTGTAATGTTTACTTCCTGTCTGTGCCTGAAGTGGAATAGTCCATTTAGCTTAGGAACCTTCCTAACGGAGTGAAATGACCCGGAAGTCCCTCAGTGGCAGCCATGATAAGTGCCGTTCCAATTCTCTAAATGAAAGGAAAGGAGGTTTCAAACTTCCTTTATAACCTCCTTTAGCTTAGGAACCACTGGACCTCCCTCACCGAAAGGAGAGGAGAAAATGCTGCCCCACAATGCCTTGCAGCCGCAGCATTTGCCGTCACAGAACAGTCGGCCGTTCACGGAAACAAACGATTATGACGGAGAAATTATCTCATGAAAGTGACGGTGCTTATTAAGCATTTTAAAACGTATGTGGTAAGTTGCCAAAGTGCTTTGTTTATTATTATATTATAATCAAAAAGAGAAATATGAACGTTAGTTTTTACTGAAATGATCAAATAAAGTCAACATCTCACAGTCTTCACTGAGCTGTGTGGGGTTTGTTCAACTTTTAAAAGACGTTTGAATGGTGATATACACAGTGATAGATGTTAAGGACTAACGTTTATAATAAATACATCTGTATTGATTTTAAGATATTTTCATAGTTCATACAATCATACGTATTGGGATCATTTGTATTAATGTGGACCGGAGGGAGAGGGTGACGAGCATAAGTTTCACTTTCCTTTTTTATTTCAATTCCAACTTTGGTCATGAAGAATATGTTTCTCTGTTGTCCACGTTCATAAAGCATAAAGCAACAGCATCAGAGCACGGTGCAGAGTCTCTAGATGAGTTTACAGTAGTCCGTCGTTCTTATTGAACATCCATGTTGTAGTCCGCTGTATAGAAAACTGTAGTTTCCATAGTTTCCCCACAGCAGCAGACGCACATTCATGACGTCCGCTGGCGCATCATAAACACGTCGGATAGTGAATGTGCAGTTGGATTCTCTAAAAAGTACCACAGTCTCTTCTCCTAAATCCTTTTGAATTCTCCTATCCACTATCCCTTAACCCCGTGATGTTTCACTCAGAGGTCAAGGAATAGGAGATAGGGTTAGAATTTAGGAGCTGATTTTTGGATTATCCGACCGCAACCCATCAGGCTTGTTTGAGACAAGCGAGACCTGCGCAGTTGCGATCAACGTCTTGCTCGTGCGTTGCATGATGGTTAGTCATTTTGTCCGACTTGCTCTGGAGGCTCGCCTACATGAGACGTTGAAATCTCGCGGGACAAAGACGCCCGCAGCCTTGAGAGCGAGGCGCGGCGAGGCGGCGCAGTTCCTCTCCACGGGCTGCGGAAGCGAAATGCTTGATGGGAAACGACTTGCTGGTATCTCGAGCTGAGCGCTCATTGGTGGGTTTCACCCCTTGCTGCTGATGAAGCTCTCCCATTGGCTCGGCTAAAGTTTGTTGTTGTTTTGTGTCCGTTTTACGTCGCCACATCCATTCCCATTTTTCATCATTGTTCCACAATGTTTATCATCATGACATTAATATCTATATATTTGATACTATACTTGCACTGCTTACCGTTTTCATACTTTATATATCTTAGCATATTCATACACACTGTTCATACTGCTCACAGGCTGCTGTGTATATCTAGTGTATTCATACTCCTCACTGTTTATTCATCATTCAATTCATTCTATATTTTATTCTGTAGATTGTGTACATTACTTTTCACTTTACTGCTTGTTGCACCTGGTTAGAAGCTAAACTGCATTTCGTTGTCTCAGTACCTGTAATATGTGCAATAACAATAAAGTTGAATCTAATCTTGAGCAGGAACAAATGTATTTACTTAGTACATATCTGACATTGTTGCATGAGACATTATATTCAGCAGAAGTCTCCACGTTTGCAGTCAACCAAAGTAGCTTGTAAGTATGCTAACGGACAGAAGAAACACACGACCACATCGCTCAGAGTTTGGCCTGGAGTACTGGGCCGTTTATTGTAACTGTGCATGCTCATTAGCATCACCACGTTTCAGGCACATTCTGATTATGTCATACACATGAACTGAAACATGACTTTGTTCTTATACAAATATGCTCAACACTCCCACTCAAAGACATGTTGATAACTCTCTACCGTGGTACACAGAATCTAAATAAACAAAACAAAAGCTTCTCTAGCAGTGTTACATTTTTATACCTGCAATTTACATTACTCTCCAAACAAATACCCTTTGAACTTGTCAAATTGTGCCTTTGTCAACGGCTTGGTTAGGACATCAGCTACCATATCTGCAGTAGGACAATATGTAATAGATATCTTCCCCTCAGCATGTGCAGATCGTACAAAATGGTATTTGATGTCTACATGCTTGCTTCTCTGTCTGGATACAGGGTTTTTTGATAGAGCTATTGCTCCCTGGTTGTCCTCATATTATCTTCACTGGTACATGTGGGCTATTATGGTCTACCCCTTTTGATAACTGTACAAGGTACATGCTCTCTTGAGTAGTAGCCGCTAATGCCATGTACTCGGCCTCACAGGTCGAGAGCGCCACTGTTGGCTGCTTCCTGCTTTTCCAGGATATAACTGGACCATTTTCAGTTAAGCTGAAACAATATCCAGTTGTGCTTCTCCTATCATTTTGATCGGCTGCCCAATCAGCATCACTGTATCCCTCAAGCTTTAGGCTTTCCTCACTTTTCTTGTAATGTAGATCTTGGTCTATTGTACCCTTTAGATACCTCAACAGTTGTTTTGCTGCAGCCCAATGTTGTTGTTTTGGTTCTGCTAAGTGTTGTGATAGTTTACTCACAATCCAGCTCAGATCAGGTCTAGTACATGTCATAATGTAAATCAAGCTACCTACTATCTCTCTGTATCCTGTTGAATCCATAACTTCACCCTCAGTGTCAAAATGTAACTTTAACTCGCATGGAGTTGACCTTGGTTTGCACTCTGACATGCCAAACCTCTCTAGCATCTTTGCTATGTGTCTCTTTTGGCTCATGTTGATCTCCCCCTCAAAAAGTCGATACCTAGGAAGTGTTTAAGTTCACCCAAATCTTTCATTTTAAACTTCCTCTTCAACATCTCTTTGACATCACTGAGTGAGCCGTTGTTATTGGCCGCTATAAGTAGGTCATCTACCCATATCAACAGAATGACTCTTTCATTCTCAGACTCTTGTCTGTATACACAATGATCAGCATCATTTTGCACAAACCCATTCTCTGTAAGATGATCATGCAGTAACTTGTTCCCGTTTCGCCCGGATTGCTTTAAACCATCCAATGACTTGTTAAGTTTGCACACTAAGTGTTCCCCTGTTTTGGATTCTGCCTCAAAACCTTCGGGCTGTTCCATATATAACTCACAGTCTATTGGTGCATGGAGATAAGCTGTCTTCACATCCATTTGGTGTAGGATAAGATCCTCCTGTATAGCCACCTGCATCAATGTACGTACAGAAGTCATATTTGCTGTCGGTGAAAAAGTTTCCTTGTAATCAATTCCCTCTACTTGACTATAGCCTTTAGCTACATATCTGGCTTTAAAAATCTCAGATCCATCTGGGCTTTCCTTTACTGCATATACCCAACGACCTCCCACTGCTTGCTTGCCGTTTGGCAGTGTGGTCAGACTGAAGGTCTCATTCTCTGTTAAAGAGTTTATCTCCTCTTTCATTGCATCAGCCCACATTTTTTATTTCTTAGAGCCTACAGCCTGCATGTATGTTTTGGGTACGTCACAAGCAACCCTGTAGAAATAATCTACATTTTCACCTTCATCATTACAATCAGCCTTACACTGATACCCATTAAATATTCTGGAGCGTTTCTTTGTCTAGTGGGATAGCGTCGTGCACTCTCTCCCTGTTCTCTTTGAGTACCATCTGTCTGGATCTGACTAGCCTCAATATTCTCCTCACTATAGGACTGTACACCCACATTAGGCTCTCTCTGATTCTGGTTCACCATTTTTGTCCCTGCTGGTGTTGTGGGAATAGTTTCTCCATAAGTGTCAAAATCCATATTATGATTTGTCTGAGTCTGACTATCTGCACTACTATTTGTGTCTCAGGATAAAATACTTGGAATGCTGGGCTATATTTGTCGTATCCTACAAAAATACCCTTTGCACATCTAGAATCTAGCTTCTTCTTATCCTGTTTATACCCGTAGCATTCAGAGCCAAATATTTTCATGTTGGACAAGTTGGGTGTTTTGCCAGTAAAAACACGGTATGGTGTCTGCTCTAGACGCTTACAGTAACACCTGTTACGTATCTGCGCTGCTGTCTGTACAGCATATGTCCATAACTGCTTTGGGAGTTTACTCTCCAATAGCATGCATCGTGACATCTCAAATAAGGTCCTCC